TATACTACTGTGAGAGTAACATATTTGAAGGTGTAGACTGAGCAGTAAATGTAAAGGTATATGGGAAACCTAAATAATATAATGTAGCATACAAATACTGAAAACATACTCAAGGAGAAGAGACTTTTTATTTTGGGCAGGGGGGTGGGGGTTGTATTTTAAACTTTCTTCCTTCCTCATGTGATCTTAGAAAGCCTTACTGTAGCTAAGCGAGAGAAAAGTGTAGATCCTGAGATGATTTCATTGATCCACAAACTGCTCATATCCTGATGGAAGAGCTGCTGGACATTCCTCAATCTAGAGGTGTTTTGTAATTGCCACAACTTAAAAGGATCGATCTAGGTCCTTGACGAAAACATTAAGCAGGCTCTACATTGTTAACTACTTGCCATTTCAAAAACACATCTAAATGTCTATTAGCAGTCCATCACTTAACTTCCACAATAAATCAAAAGTTTTAAATCAAAGTGCAGTACAAACCAGTAAATAGAGTTTCTATCAACAGAGAGGCACATTGAATGGTTTAGAGTGACAAAAATATTAACACAGAGACATTATAAAGATTAATTTTGTAAATGTTTATGGAAAGTTAATGATACTCTTCTATCTCAGTCTTATAAAAAGATCTATAATGATTCAACAAAATTTATTTCTAAGTAGGCATACTACATCAGTTACTAATTCATATTTCAATTATCTTCACATTTAAGTTAATCAGTATAGCTGTTGCTATATTGATTGACTTTTCAGTTGATCGTTCTAGTTATTTATCAGACCAGTAAATAAGGATTTAAGAGCTACGGGATCTCATGCAGCTTATTAGTGGATTTTAATGACAACTTTTGTAGCAGTGTATGAGGTAATTCAATAAAATTACATTTATTTATCAGGCATTTTACAAAAAGTCTGGGACTGTGTCAGATCTTACATGTATAATCCTTTGTGTAGTTGTAATTTATAGATAAAATTTTATTTAACATCAGATACAGATGAAGGTACAAGTTAGATTTTTGGCAGAGAATTCAACCACGCAACATGCTGAATCCTAAGTTTGTGTTGGTAAGAATTCCATAAATGCCACAATTCCTCAATTAGTTTTGTTTGGAGCAGTAGGACTATTAATACTGTTTATCCCCATATATGTACAAGTTCTAACAATGTAACTGCCAGACAGCTAAGAGCTAAAATAAAATAAAACTCAAATTAAGAGCGTTGAAGTACTTTTAAGGCCTGGTAAAAGAGGAGGAAAGTTGTGACTGCTTGTTAAGTAGACAGCTAAAATTTTACCCTTATTGTGACACCTTCCTAGGCTACAAAAAGTCTGAATTCAAATACGGATTTGTCTGCACGGAAGCTACCTGCTCACAAAGCTAAATGGAGTTTTCATGAAACTCTGGGAGTATCCTATCAGGAAAAACATGTCCCTGAAACCAAACTGGGAGAGTGAGTCACACTGCTTTGCTGATCTCCAGGGTCTCATTCAATTAACAAATGTTTATCCAACTCCTACTGAAAATTTTGCACCAATGGTTCTGATAAATCTAAGCATCATTTATACATTACCAGTTTTTTTTTTCCTTTAATCTTCTAGATGCGTTTCTTTGCAAATCTACCAGATTCTCAAGTAAATTTTGGAACTTTCTCCAAATAAAGTATATTGCCACTGACATCAAATTTGTCTCCAAAACGAGGAACATTATCATTATAAATCCACTGATGACTGATAAATAGAGTTAGAACTGTTTAATACAAAGACATTCCCAGGAAATCAACCGTATTTGTCCACCAGAACCAAGAGAAGTTCATTCATTGTTATACAATCTTTGTAATTTGTAAGGACAGTTCTTTCATTGCTGTTTCACACAATGAAGTCCAAGTAACCTGACTGGCTTACTCCTCACTGACAGTCCTCACTAGGTCAACAAGTCACATTCAAAAGTTCCTACTCTGAGAAACAGTAGTTCAAATAATGTTGCCCTGATTCCGTTAAAAATATTCCTGAGAGTTATGTGGTAAGTACTTGAGGGTAGAGTGTAACTTGCCAATAATAAACTCAGCACTCAGGAAACAAAGCTCTCAGACTAATAATCAGTAATCAGAGTTTGCAAAATAAAATTATGAAATACCAGTTTACACCCTCTAGATTTACAAAATAAATTAAAAGTGTTTACAAAACCAAGTTTTAGTTGACACATGTACCCTAGAGAAACTCTTGAGCTTGTGCATTTAAGGACATGTACAAACATGATCTCAGCAACATTGCTTTTAATAGCCAATACTAGAAACATCTCAAATGTTCATCAATAGTAGAACTGCTTTCAAAGGGTTGGGAAATGATAATATAATAAAATAATATACCACTGTTAAAATAAAGGAACCATAGTTAACGTATCAACAAAGAAATTTCAAAAACAGTATTTGGAAAGAAAAAAATCAAAACAATATGTAACATTCTACTCAATTTTTATACATTTTCAATATATGCAATACTAAAGACACTTTTTTAAGGCATCTTTTATATGAAGCAACACATTCTTAATAATAAGAGGATGAGAAATACAAAATCTTGAATCGTGGTCGTCTCTGGGGACAGTAAAGAACTTGATACAGTGGAGACAGGAAACACACACAGGTTCAGCATAGAGCAGCGCTCTCTGGGTTCCTCATGCTTTCCTGATATTATGTAGCTTATTATTTTGTGTTCATGAAATAGTCCCTAATATTTTAAAACAGAGTGGGCAGAAAACAAGGTGGCTGGGGTGAGGGGACTTTGCTTTGAAGTAGAAGCTATTGCGTTCTATTTCCCAAAGCATACACGTTTTACATTCACACTCTTCCAGACTTTCTCCCATAAAGTGTGTATGTTTTCTGGAGGCGGTGAAAGGGCATATTTGTAAGCTCTGAAATAAAATTCTCTGATATATTTGCTCCCGTTTGTGTAGAAATGCTTGAAAGTAGATATGCATCCTAAGAGTGTGCAAAGAAAATTTGAGAAGATTTACAAGAATCTACAGAGTCTCAAACAAGTAGTAGTTATTTCATCTTATGCTATACTTAGGTGTATCTTTCCTTTTTAACTTACTGTGTATTTTATTTGCCACCTGAGCTTTGTTTTTCAATTAAATTATTTTTTTGAATGAGGACAGAGAGTGGGAGAGGATGGAGGAAGGGAAGATTTAGTACAGGGCTTGCTGTGCTCTCCAGCCTCCAGGTTGTCTGACCGCCTGGGAGGGACAGAGCCACCTGGCGGAGACAGCAACCCACAGGGATAAATAAGCCCCGCCTCGTCCCCTCCCACCCGGCACCTGGGTGGTTGCCCTGGCAGCCGGGCCTTGCGTGGCCAAAGCTCACAATCGGCCCAGTCTCTGCAGTTCCCACCCCGCCCCCCGGGCTCACCTGGCAGAGCGCTCGCTCTCGCTCTTGCTCTCTCGGCAAACGGGAGGCACATGGACACACACACACCCTTCTCTGCTGCCTTGCGCACCGGCTCGCCTTCTCTGACCCTAGGGACAGGGCTCTGCCCTGGGCGCCCAAACCAGATTCCAGGGGTCAGAGGTCGCGGTTGGGGCCAGCGGTTGATCCCAGAGAACAGGAGCAGAGGCTGCTGCTGGGGCATACAGGCTCAGGTATTTCTGTGGCTGGAAACCCAGGGCTCCTGACGGCCGCACAGGACTAAGAGGTGAGTTTGGCCCGCTGATCCCTACCATCTGGATTTTTCTCTTGAAAAATCATCTCTACCCATCCACCCCTCCACATTTTTCTCAGACATAATGCTGAGAGGAATAGCAAAGAACACACACACACCAAATTAAAGGGTGAGCTGAACCTCACAAAGTTGATAAAGTCACAGTGAGTCTGCAACCAAGGCCTTTGCTAAATACAAGGATGATTTCATTTCCTCATTTACCCCTAAAATGGGTACTATTGTTATCCCCATTTCACAGATGAAGAGACTGAGGCACAATCTAGAACAATGTCCTGCCCTGGGGAGGTAGGGGTATGTACTTGGACACACAGAACTCACCTTTTTTTCCTATAATTTCAGAGTATTTAGATTTTAAACATGGAACTCAAATCAAGAAATCCTGTTCTATTCTACACTGTATATGAATTATCTCTACAGATGTCTAAGTAGATGACCCAGGGACATAGAGAAAATATATTTGCTGAGGCATGGGCATATGTAGTCACCCTCATGGGGATCAGAGATGCCACAGTGGTTTGCAAAGAACTGAAAAGTAGAGGGCGGATTTCTGTTGTTTCCTCCACTGGGGGAAGCCTTCATTAGTCTTGGTAGCTGGCTGTTTTGAACACTGCACAAAGTACTGCTGTCTCCCCAGGAATCTGGGGCTTTAAGTAGGAGGGATATAAGCCTCAGAGCTCACCCACGGTCTGCTGAATTCATCAGTAGAACTGCCAGTTGCTTCTTAGAGGTGGGTGTCCCCTCCTGGACAATAGTGAGGTCTCTGGTTAGGAAGTCTATCCATATGATGAATAAACTATTGGGCTGTCAGAAAAGCCATGATATATTTTCTCTATGTTTTTCAAGGGTAAAATAGGTTATGGCTTTTCTGACAACCTAATATTTTGGAGCATCTTATGCAATTGGTATATGATACACTTAAGTATGCAGTATGCCAACATTGTACCTGTCCAGAGTATGACTGATGATAATACAAGCCACAGAATAGAGCAGTAAGGCTCTTTAAGAGATCATCATGAAAGACTGCCAAGAAGAAAAGAAAACTATAGCAAAACTAGTATTAATTTTGATGGAGATAGGTTTTGCAATATTTTAACTTTATGCTAGCTGAATATATTTTCTAATTATATGTAATTTCTACTGTCATGAAATCTGTTGCAATAAATTATGGTAATGTTTCATAAGAAACTGCCTCTCTAATCTTAATGAAGATGACACAATTAACTTTGATTTTTGTATTTTGCTGCTTTAGTTTTTGTCTTAGTTCAGAAAAGCATTCTCAAGAAGCTGGTTGAATATGGCTTTGGCAGATAAGAGACTTGAGAACTTGCAAATCTACAAAGTCCTTCAGTGTGTTCGGAACAAAGACAAGAAACAAATAGAGAAGCTGACCAAACTTGGATATCCTCAACTCATCAACTTCACAGACCCTATCAACGGACACAGTGCTTTGCACTTAGCCTCAGTTTCTAATGATATTGACATGGTTAGCTTTCTCCTTAACCTCGGAGCTCACCCTGATGTGCAAGACCAGATGGGCTGTACGCCAGCAATGAGGGCTGCAGAACTGGGCCATGAATTGTCAATGGAAATATTAGCAAAGGCAAAGGCTGATATGTCTATAGTTGATAATGAAGGAAAAGGTAAAAATTCCAACTTCTCTCCAGCAGAGGCAGTCCACTTTTAGATCTTTTTGCTTTCTACCTTTAGAACTGAATTGTTATAGTTTTCTGTGATAGTATAGATTCATTCTTATTCTGACCTCTAAGGAGAACATATCTTATAGATCAAAAAGAGTATAGGTTTATTTTAGGGAGGCCAATTCTACAAATTTTCTCATCTAAAAAAAAAAAAGAATGAGGATTAGATCTACTTGTGCTTGGTGGTTTTTAAAATCTAGAGAATTTTCCAAATAATTTATTACTATTACTATAATCACAGTCATTGTTAAAAATAAAACATCTGGTTTAGAATGAAAGATGAAGTCTTTTTTTTTTTTAGAACCTCAAATGGTACTAGAATTAGGACTCCAGAGATGGATTTTATCCCCTTCTCACTGGCAATCTGATGTAGGAAGAAGTTGAGTTGGGAGTTTAGGAGGATTAAGATGGATTCTGGCATAAACTCCAGTTTCCTAGGGCCATTTTAAACTGTACTTGGAAAAAACAACCTGAAATTTGAAACATGGCATTTCCATTATTATGAAGAAATAATATATTTAACACATATAAAACATATTTTCCTATGTGTCATATATACTCTATCTTTCTATGTAATTTTCCTTCCAGTTGAATGTTCTTAATGACATATTTTTAGTTCTTCTAGTGGCTAATAGCTTTATATAGATATACCCCTGATATAAATATATATTTATTAACTTAATGCCTTCACCTTTGAGCCATATTCATTATTATGAAAGGTAAGTATTATAATGTACAGCAACACTTATTTTCACTTCTTCAGCTCCCTGTCAGTAACCAATTTCAGTAAATTATAACCATCTTAATTCTTTCCATGATGTATTTTATACATTCAAATAATAAACATCTCTCATCTATTTTATCTCTTTGAATACTGTCCTAACTCCAGTGCCAAAAGATGAAAATCATATGATTATACCATCCCTCCCCCTTTTCTCTTCCCTCCAACTTTTGTTAAATCACATGATTGCTACATTATTATGAACTCCAATGTTCTGTATCTAGCATTCCTAAGATGATTTAGCTTTGATTCTGTGATTGAAGAAACTCATGTCTATCACTGGTCTTTCAGTCATATATTCCCTATTCTCCTGGTAGACACATTTTTGGATTTATATTCTCGGATGCTTTTTGTATCCTTATATTAAAATGTCCATTGCCCTTTTTTTTTTTTTAAGATTTATTTATTTGTGCATACAGAACTGGGGTACATGCCAGAGGCTAAGGGGAGGCAAGAGGCTTCACCAAAGACAGAGTGGGGAGCAGAACAGGCAGATCGACGAAGTACACTGCTGAGGGGAGCAGCGGGCGGGTCAGGAGAGGTCTGCCACACCATGTGGTCACCTCCGGGGCAGGCGGAAATCGAACTCATGCAGAAGTTGCTTTAGCTTCTCAGTGCTGTGCTTTAACCTGCTGCGCCACCAGGGCGGGCTCCCATTGCCTTTTACATAAACAAGTTTTTTATTGATTCCCAACTTTCTTACCAACCCTTAGCCCAGATATTACCACACTATCCCTGATCAATAGTAAATTTGGAGAAGTCTGATGACCCTGTATTCATAGTCTTAGCATGGACACTTAGCGTTTCCCTCTCTTCAGTGGAAAGAAATGATTTTCCAAAATGACACAAGTACTTGCCACAGCACTTTTCTTCTCACTACTACTACCCTAACAATCTACTTCATATAATTAGTTCCAGAGGGAACAGAGGGACCACACCACATCTGGCACACAAAGTCGTCCTGTGGCCAGCCAGGGACACATAGGGGAGGGTTGTAGGCTGCAGGATGCTAACTGTGCAGTTCTGATAGGAGCTCACAAACCAGCTCTCAGATTCCTCCCTAAACCAGTCCTATCACCCTTGGTTCTGGCCATTCTAACTATCACAGATTGAGGTTCTTTTCTATTTCATTGTCTTGCAGTTTCTATTGGTGTCAGAGGGGAAATCCAAGTAAATATGTCTCTGGTCCACCTACCATCTTCAATAACTAATTACAGATGTTTTAATGAGTTTTCCTCCTTCTGTATAGAGGCTGCTCATTAAGTAGTCTTTGGGGGTTCTGTTTTTCTGCAGGTGTTTTGTTTTACTGCATTTTACCTACGAAGCGCCATTACCGCTGTGCATTGATTGCTCTGGAACACGGTGCAGATGTCAATAACTGTTCCTACAGCGGAATGCCAGTATTCCTTAAAGCTTGTGAAGAAGCACATGATGTTAAAGATATGTGCCTGACCTTTTTGGAAAAAGGAGCCAACCCAAATGCTATCAACTCAGTATGACCTTTCCAGTGATTATAAATATTCCTTTTTTAATTATAGAGTCCTAGTAGTTATAATTTTTATTTCAGCTATAGCAAAATCATCCTGTTATAGACTATTCACTTATATTCAAAATGCTTTAAGATGATATACTTTCATTATCTTTTTATTTACATGATTCTATAGTCTATTCCCTAATTACATTTGCAAAATTGGTTATCTATTATAACATTTTAGGAAAGGAAAGATGCCACTTATGCCTACTGAAGATTCATTACTGTGGAAAGAAAGTATGTAGTTCTGCTGTTTTCCTTATTTTATTCAGTTTTCTTACCTTGGAACTGTCATTTCTAGACAATAAAAATAGATATTTTTCTCACTAGAAAACACTTATAGCCCGATTTTAGCATACACTTTGCCCTCTTTTGCCCCTTTTTTCTTGTTTTCCTTGCCAGCAATACAATTTTTAGCATGATTTTTCTCACAGGAGCATCTGCAGTAATCTTGATTTTGATTTTCTATGTTTTGAACAGACTCATTATACTGACTTTATTTTTCTTCTTTGCTTACACAAAACAAAATGTTGAGAACTAAACATGTCACTTTCAATCTAAGGTCAATGGATTTCAATCAGATTACTTGTTTATGCTGAATATATTATTTAGTCTGACAGGTATGGGCAGCATTTGATCTGTTTTGTGTCCAGTCTACAGGTCGTACAGCTTTAATGGAAGCATCCAGGGAAGGAGTGACAGAGTTAGTTCGAGGGATACTGGAAAGAGGAGGTGAAGTGAATGCATATGACAATGACAGATGTCAAGCTGCACATTTTGCTGCCAAAGGAGGATTTTTTGATGTAATGATCTGCTCTTTGCTTTAACATTTTTGGCTAAAAATTTGATCTTATTTTTTTGAAAATTTTAAAATGCCATGTAGTTATACGAAGACAGAACCTTTTTCTGAGTTACCAGCTTGATTTCCCTAAATAATTCTAAAGTTATACTTAAATGAACTTATTTTGAAACCTACTTTATCTCTTTATTCAGGTTTTTCTGCTCTGCTAATTTACTGATTGAATCATGTGTCCTTTAATTATGACAAGTTAAAACTTTTGCAATGGGTCATTACAATCTTTAAAACATGGTATAACCTAACTGTGGGGAGAATAATGCCAACATTTTCTCATTTCCCTCATATCTGAGTGCATTATCTTGATGTTTGTATAATACACCTTAATTTGAAACTCAACAATTCTGAGTACCTGACAAAAGAATCTCAATGACACAATGGCATTGCTAAGACAAAACAGGAGCCAATGCTATCCCGTTTTTATAAATTCTGAATTACAGCCAAGATTTCTTTGCCCAGGATTCTTTAAGTTTTAACATAATTATCTTTATTTTTGTCATGAATCTCTTTACCGTAATTATGTATAACAAAGAAATCACATTTGGTAAAGAATTTACTCTCTTGGTGATAGCTGCTATAGTCTGGTACTTTCCAAAACTACCTAGATTTATTAAAGGACAATACCCCAGTTGAGTATAGAGTTTCCTGCACTCCAGATCAACATGGTTTGATAGAACTTTTGACAATGATGGCAAAATTCTATCTCTATGCTGCACACCACAGTACACTGAAGTTGTCACATGAGACTCTTGAACACAGTAAATCTGACTGTGAACATACCAGATTTAGAAATCTGTTTTCCATTTATTTAATCTCCATTTAATTTTGAGTAGTCCTGTGTGGCTAACAGGTGCAATGCTGGCTCTAGGTCTATCGTAGGTCTCGTAAATGTGCCTGCCTATTCTGCCACAGTATCTACTATTTGTTTTTGCAGATTTTGAAGCTGCTGTTTGCCTACAATGGAGACATGGGGCTGATAGCCATGAGTGGGAACACACCACTTCATTTTGCTGCCATGGGTGGTTTTGCAGATTGCTGTAAATACATAGCTCAGCGAGGTAAAATCATTAGCAACTTTATGCTTAAAATGTTTGATTTACGTGAAAGTGGGCCCATTACTTATCAGTTGCTTGTTGTTTTTAGTAACCCAACCTCACTCATATATGTAAAAAGAAAACTGAAACTTTTTTCTTGCATTAGCGTCTGTTTAGTCATAAATCTGGTTTATTTTTGAACAATAAAAGAAACTGCCCATGAGTGACCTGATTATGAAAATGCTGATACCATGCATCAATAACTGATTGAACTCTTCCTTTTAAATGTGGCCAAATCATTCTAAAAGTGGACAAACACTGGATATCATATCTGTTAGTTGGTATTCTTTTATTTTTATTGTTATTTGTATCAAGTGCAAAGATAACTTTTCTGGATAATTTAAAACTACAAGGAAATATTTTGGGGAGAAAGGTGATAAAATGAAAATCCTCATGGGAAATTTGAACTTTAAGTTATTTTCACTTAGCATATCCTGTAACTTTTAAATAAATTTACTAATTTGGGAATATAAACTATATTAGATATAACTCAATGGGTTCCTTAAAGTAACATTTACCAATTAAATTTAAAGGTATGGATGAATTTGGTGTAGATTATGTGTTAATTGAAAGTATATTAAAAATTTTAAACTTTGTTAAGAGATGGAACTGAAATCTACTAAAATTAATGTCAGTGGATTTTCCCAGCTTATGAAAAAAACTGGAAAAAAAATTAACCACTGATTCCAAATAGAGCAAAGGAAATGCTTTTGTTTTACTGTCCTCTACACGACAGAATTTTAGAAGCCAGTAGGATCTAGAGATCCTATACTGTAACCCCTAATAGAATCAATAAGACTCTAGTTCTTAATAGTGTAATAACTGATCTACTTTTGCAAGCTTATGTTCCTTCTCTTAGCAACCCCAGAATAATTTTGAGCAAATGAAGAAAGAAAAATATATCAAATGCAATTCTGTCCTCAAACTCTCCCATTGGTCTTTTAAATCTATCAGCAGTTGATTCTTTTGACAGCCAACTCACTTCTAACATTGTACATTCTAAAACCACAGCTCTGTCCAGAAGGAGACAAACTTCTTAAATTTTAACATATTAACCTATTTCTTACTGGGACAAACATACAACACTCTATATATACAGGTTAGATAATCATGGAATAAAATCATGGGAAGGAAGTTGAAATGCAAAGGGCCAGAGCTTGGTCCATGCAGAAGATTTGGCCCAATGATGCAAAAAATTCACCTTCCCAGCAGAATCAAAAGATTAAGCCTATCTCTAAAAAGAATGTCTGCAAATACCCTACCCTATGGAGCCCGTTGAGAAACCCAACTACTTCCCCAGGCTGAGCCAGTGCCATAGCAGAGGCATTATCAGTTGCATCTCTACCATTAGAATATTGCATCTAAGGCTCTTGGAATGGCAATAAACCATTAACAAGGAAACCCTGTTTCTGAGTAAACTCCCTGGGGTTAGTCTCTTCTGTACTTAAATGTAAAACATTTGTGCTGGCTGGGTCTTTCCCTATATTAAACTATCTTCATTAAAATGCTTCACTTTTGTCCTTGGTCCTGCTGCTGGAGCAATTAACAAGTCCCTAGTCCCTGTTAGCAGTGTGAGTGCCAAGTCCAGAGGTAGACATGAGGAGTTTGGGGTAGCCGTTCTTAGGTACCCCATGGTGAGTTCTCCTTCTGAAGGGTCTTGGGTGTTCTGTAACACCAACCAGCTCAAATGAGTATCTTGACACAAAGAAATAGAAATCACAAAGGAAATGAATTAACCTTTATTTATTAATCATAAAGGAGAAAAAAAGTCCAAGGGGGAGGGAAAAAAATTCCATCAGATTTCTATTTTATCACATAGAGATTTCTAACTAGGAGGAAACCGAGAGCTGAAGAAAGCAAGCTAAAGTTGCTTTATAATACTTGGATCCTAGTGCTGGAGTGAATATAGGAAGAGTGGTTTAGCAGATGGTGTATAAACCCTGCAGACACCCCTAGTAAACAAAAAACTCAGTAAAAGCAGCATACTTGCAATTACTATGGAATTACACTATGAAATTATTATATTATGGAAATATAGTATCAAGACCAGTCGTGGGGTCTCCTTTTCAATAAAGTTCCTACAACTGTCTAATACAGAAATTTTATCATCTTTACTGTCCAGATACTCTGAGTTTTTCTATTATTAGCAAAATTATGAGCTTTGGTTAAAAAAACTATATCAAATGAGTATTAATCTTGAAACACTTTGGTGGTTAATTTAGTTCTTGACAAGAATAAAACTATAAATCACTGGAGACACATGCTTTTTTTTGCATACAGCTGCTTATGTGTTTTGGTTGCCAGAGACACTGATTGGGTAGCATTCTCTTGTGATTATGTGATGTAGGTAAAGCACAGAAGAATTCTGTTCTAGACTGAAATGCTAGGGAGAACTTCTGCAATTGACTTATTTATATGCAAAACAGATTTTTACTATCTCAAGATAATAACAGTTTTCTCAGCACTTCTCAATGCTTTCAGAAATAGTCATGTCTTTGCAGAATACTTACAAGTAATACTGGTATTGTTTGAAGTAAGGAATCAAAAAGAAAGGTGAATTTTAATGTCTAACTTACCTAAGTGTATTGTATTGCAATAATTTCAGTTTTAATTAACAAATTCCTTTTTCTTCTGTTAAGATTGTTCACATGACCTTACCACAAAGCAATACTGATTAGTACAAATTATGTTAATTTCATGGAAATACAGATAAAATATGGCTTAAGATTGTATTCAGATGTATAGTTAAAAGCATTCAAAAAAGAAATAATATTTATCTGAGTTGATAAATTCCTAAAGAATTTGAATCTAGCTTCTTTCCAAATTCATGTATCACTTTCACTCTTCTTGCTTGGCCTGAAGCCTCCTTAGCAAGTATACCAATATGATATTTGTTCCAAATATCTATGGGGATCAAAGTCTTTGGGGACAGATATTGTAAACTAGAAACATGAATTTTTGGAATTCACTGAAGTGAAGCACACACACAAAATCAGAAGCTCGTACTGTAACTGCCACAGCTTTATGCACTCATCTTTGTAAGAATATTTCAGGATAAACTTTTGACTCATCACACAAAATTATAAACACAAGTCCATCAATGTTACTTGTAGGGTTCTATAGATGCCTCCGAACCATTTATAATAACGTTGCTTCATGTTTCAGGATGTGATCTCAAATGGAAGAATTTGGATCATAAAACACCTCGAGTTATAGCTAAGGAAAGAGGTTTCAAGGCAGCAAGCAAAGAAATCCGGCGGGCGGAGAGGATCGCTAATAAACTGGCCAAGCCAGGAGCCAAAAATCCTAACCCACTCTGGGCTCTTAGACTACACGATTGGTCAGCAGAACACGAGAATTTCCTTCGGGAAGCCTTTTCGTTTGTGGACAGAGGTGACGGGACGGTCACGAAGGAGGACTTTGTGATAACGCTGGAGGAGAAACAAGATTTTGTGACCTCGGAACAGCTGGCCATGGTGGCTCAGCTTCACGAAAAAAGCCGCGGGGGCGGGGTGAACATCAATGATTTCTTTAAAGGCATTAAATACTTAAACAAGGCTTTTGTCTTGAGCTCCTTTGGGCCTAAGAAAAAGAAAAAAGGGATGACCAAAAAGGCCAAGAAAGCCAAGCTGGTCTTACCGCTGCCAATCTGCACCATCCCTGACGAAGTGTTTCCACGACGCAGTGACGGCGGTCCGCCCTATTACATGATCGAAACCTACTCGAACGTCACCGACTGCAATCGATTTAATCGGGATCACCCGCCAGAACATCCCATTCAGGATGACTCCGCCTGGTACATTGATGACCCTGGGAAGGTGTTCTCAAATATTAATTTTATCACCAGAGCGGGAGACCTGGCTTCTCTGAAAAAGGCGTTTGAATCAGGAATACCCGTGGATATGAAAGACACGTATTACAAAACACCCCTCATGACGGCGTGTGCAAATGGGAACATAGATGCCGTCAAGTTTCTTCTTGAGAAAGGGTATGGTTTTGATTGTGTGAGGGTTAAATTTTCATGGGTTTTCCTATTTCAAGGAAGTGAAAGGAAGGCGAAGAAGTAAAATTCCAGAATTTGAGCAGAAAGGGATACTTTAGATGTTACATGCCGAACCAGGCTTCTGGGACACGGAATGCATGTGCAGAGAGCTAGTTAATAACAATTGCCCACAACGTGAAGGTCAAGTTTTTACAAGGGGGGGGGTTGGGGGGGGGGTGTGGTAAGAAGCCTTAGGACTTCCCAAGAGTTTTACCTAAATCGTATGAAGTCACTTAAATTTTTGGTGGTTGTGAAAAGAACAGATATGAAGAGAGATCTACCCTTTTAACAAATCTTAAGCATACAAAACAGTATTGTTAATAACTATCACAGATCTCTAGAACTTTTAAAGAAGCCTCTTTTTTTTTTTCCTTTGGAAGGGATCCAAACAGTTCAAGTAAGTGGGATGGTGCTCATAGTAACTGAAGATGTTTCAGTCGCTCCACAACACGTGACAGTCATATCCTGGGCTCCCTTGTAAATATTTTTTAAAATATCAAAGCACAACTCTTCTATTTAATGACTTTTAACTTGTATTTAATTAAGGTTGTTGGTGCTTAAGCCTAGCACTTCTACCATGGCCAAATTACCTGTAGGAATTCTTTAGCTTTTTGTGACTATTTTCACATTAATTTAATGGGTTTCTAGTGGGACTAGGTCACAGCAGTTTTAGAAGAGTACCTGAGTTAAAATATATAAAGCACTTATTAGCACAATAATTGTGTACGATCAAAGGCATTATTAACGCTACTAGTACGCTTTGTACTGTCAAAGAACTATTCAGTTTTTTATATTATGATGAATATAAAGCAATTAATGAGAATTTGGAATTCTAGACTGAACTTTTTAAAAGGATAAAATATTTAAATAATATAGCTAGAATTTTAATGAAGGCACATTTAGAATTCATTAATCACAGAAAATGTTGACACAAGGTGGAAAAATATAGTTTTTATATTTCTTGTCAGCTTTCACCTTTGCTGGATCTAGTTTTATCATTTTCCCTCATTTTACCCTTTGCAAAAATTTAATCATCTAGGATTTAAGTGCATTTTAAAATTAAATAAAATGTATATATACATAAAGTTAAACCTGTCAGACAGTGTAGAACACGTGTCAGGAAAAATTATGGCACAGAGCTTAACTTTATCAAGTTCTCTTGGTTTACACTTGAATGATGCGATGAAATCTTACTTAACATGTTTAGCCTCCAATGTTTGGAACAAACTTAATTTTTAATTTGTGCATATATTTTATTTTTTAGGGCCAATGTTAATGCAACAGATAATTTTCTGTGGACTCCACTTCATTTTGCATGCCATGCAGGCCAGCAAGATATTGTTGAACTTCTAGTTAAGTCTGGAGCTGTGATAGATGCAGTTTCCATTAACAACTCAACTCCTTTATGTAGAGCCATTGAGAGCTGTAGCCTGGATACTGTAAAATACTTACTAGATATTGGTGCTAAATTCCAGCTGGAAAATAGAAAAGGTATGTGTTCTGGTTATGAATTGTTTAGGTTTGAAAGAGGAGAATTTATGTTAGCTTCTAAACCCATTTTGATTTTTTTTTCTTGTGGTACCACAATATCTTTTGAGTTTTGCTGTAGATACAACTTTTAGTTAAATATTAAAGAAGTTTGTCTTGTATTTCTCAAATTATTGGTGTTAAATGACTGGCTTTTTATGTTTGCTACTTGTCATGAACTGGTACTTTTGTAAGATACAATCAAAAGTGATTAATAAGAAAAATGAAATATAAAAAAATACCAATAATTACCAAGTCTATACTTTTTTCTAACATTTAGAATCAATGGCAGAAAATTCTTCTATCAAATTGCAATCAGAATTTTTCAACTTACTATTAATTTCTGTAGTTATTTCACTGTGGCCCAGTACCTTTTAGTGTACGAACCTGTGCCAATTTACAGATCAAATCTTGAGCCATTACACTGTTACAACTGTCCATTCCTAATAATCTGCACAATGTAAAAGCCTTATAGAGCTTGGCCTCCTTCTAAAGCAAGACATTGAGTTCCTGAATTGAGTCTTTCTTCAGGCAGTAAACAGGAGTGTATCTGATGTCATAAATATCACACCTGAAGAATGAATAAGCCCTTGAATAAATATTTGAGCTCCTTTATTGAAGGTTTCTTTTTTTATATAGTGGAGCTCTGCTTAGAACATTAGTACCTCTGGCTGCTTCAGGCTGCCTCGAGTCACAGGTAGTAGTGTATTAATAGTCCTGCCTGAGGATGTTGCAGGTCATAATACCCAGGCGTCTACCTAGAATACTTGGTGTTCACCAGCTTCCCCTCTTTACATCACCTCTTCCCATCAAGAGGAGTAAGGTGTAAACTTGGCAAACTAAAGGAAATGTGCTTAGTGTGGAAGAGAACCAGCACAAGTTCAAAATATAATTAACAATATTTCTTATCAATTGCTTAAAGAAACATGCTCACAAAAATTAATGAGATTGTTTTGCCAGCACATGGCACTTTAAATTGTGAAACCTGGAGCCGGTCCACCATTGAAATGTCTGATTAGCTCTGTAACCTAACACATACCACCTACTTTACTAATTACTTGCTATCACATGCTTAGGCCTGATGTGCTAAGCTTTATAAGGCTAAATGTAAGGTTTATAAGCTTAAAGGTTTATTACTAACTGGTTTACTGTAACTCTGAATTTATATTTTACACAGGGCATAATGCCATGGATATTGCAAAGGCATATGCTGACTATAGAGTAATTAGTTTGATTAAAGAAAAGGTAGATAACTTGCCAAAACCAGTGGAAACGCCAAAACCAAAAAGCAAGACACTTAAAATGAAGACTGAAGGCCTTGAAGTCAAGAAAGAAGAGGTAAGAGAAGCGGCTGACTCCTCCAGAGTAGTAACTGGAACTCTTCAAAATTACATGTGGTTGCTTGTGTACATATCATTACAACATGGGCAAAAGAATATGCACTCAATTTTTCCAGAAATTTGTACTTCTCTTAAATCAATAACCATCAAGAATCTTCCTGCTACTGAAAATCTGAAAAGTGCTTGTTGCAAACAGAATCCACACAAAAACCAAGTTGATTCAGTCAAGTATAATTGGAATATTTTAAAAAGATCTAGTATATATTTAATGCTGAACTATACAGATTTGTTAAGATGGCCCAAACTGGAAAGAGGGGTAACACTTATAAGAAATGACATAAAGCAAGAATTTCTTTCATTTTGTCCTCATAATATTTTATATCACCAAACCCTATAAGGTATTTTAAAAATTACCACTGAACCCTGAGAGATAGAGCTACTTGTAAATTCAGTATTCTCCAAAATGAATTTAAAAGGGTTTAAAGGTAACACCTTGCTAGTTCCTTGTAACATGGAGTGGTCTGGATGCCTCTAAACTACAGCAGAAGGTGAGATTGTTGCCCATGGGTTAATACACCAAGACATTGCCATTAGCAAGGATACCCTAAGTTCCCTGCTAAGCTGGTAGCTTATTTCAGGGAAGCAGAAGGGTCCCTGGAAATTCTTCAGAGATTCAGGACATGGGATAAATCTGTAAAATGAAGGGTTTTAATGTGATCAAGTTGGGAAGGGTTGGAGATATGTTGGTGGTAGAAAGTAGGTTGATTGCAGGACCGTGGTTAGTGTAAGATTAATCAATATGAAGAAAAGATGTATGGGCAAAGGTGAGCGAGAAGCCAGCAGCTAAAGCTCTGTTGTCATTTTAGTAAAAATTTAACCTTTTGGCTGACGAGGTGTCATAGGTCAAGAATGAGTATCTTGAAGACTAGTGGTCTGTCACTAATACCACTAATTTTTTTAAAAAGATTTATTCATGGGCCCTCCCTGATGGCGCAGCATGTTAAAGCACTGCACTGAGAAGCTAAAGCCACTTCCACATGAGTTCGATTCCCACCTGCCCCGGAGGTGACCACATGGCGTGGCAGACCGCTCCTGGCCTGCCCGCTGCTCCCCTCAGCAGTGTGCTTCGTCCATCTGCCTGTTCTGCTCCCCACTCTGTTTCTGGTGAAGCCTCTCGCCACCCCTGAGCCTCTGGCCTGTACCCCAGTTCTGTATGTACAAATAAATAAATCTTTTAAAAAAAAAAAGATTTATTCATTTGTGCATAGAAGTACTAGGGCATAGGCCAGAGACAGAGTAGAGAGCAGAACAGGTGGAGCCACTGCAATACACTGCTGAGGGGAGCAGGGGGTGAGACAGGCGAGGTCTGCTGCGCCATGTGGGTCAGCTTCCTGCCTAGGGATTGAACTCATGCCAGAGGGGTGGCAATAGCTTGATAGTGCTGAGACTTCAATACCTGCACTGCCAGGGAGGCCCACTAATATTACTAATTAAGTAGAGTTAAACAAGGCCAACTAATTATCTTCCCTTAGTCAAAGTTGTAATGACATTCTATTTGATTTTAAATAGTAACCTGCACATTAGCTTTTTTTCTGGCTCCCATGGAAGTTGCAGAACAAAAAATAGTATTAGAAAGCATATATAGGTTTTGTAAATTAGTAAGACTTTGTCTTTCTTCCAGGAACCATTTTCATCACTTTATACTGTTCCGCCCATGTCACCAGAAAAGAAATTAAATAAGGATAATGTGGTTTATCTCAATTCATTGATTACCAGTGGTTATACTAAGAAAGTGGATATTACATTTGTTCCACGTAGGGTAAGTTCTTCAGCAAGATCATCATAACATGGTATAAATTCATAATTTCAAAATATATATATATATTTTAAAGATTTACTGATTTATACTTACAGAACTGGGGTACAGGCCAGAGGTGTGGTGGGTTAGAGGGTTCACTAGAGACAGAGTGGGGAACAGAACAGGCAGACTGACAAAGTACACTACTGAGGGGAGCAGTGGGTGGGTCAGAAGAGGTCTGCCATGCCTTGTGAGTCAACCCATGGCTGGGGATCAAACTCATGCTGCTGTGGCTTTGGAGAGCTTCACAATGTAGTGTGGTGCTTTAACCCATTGCACCACCAGGGAGAGCCCCAAACAACTTTATACAGTTCACCCAAAATTTCCAAAAGTCATTTTTCATAACTATTATTTGAAGTTGTCCTTTTGCCAGGCCCTACTGCTTCTGACTCAGTAAATCAAACTTAACTCCCAATATCTGGTTTCCTTTATTACTACATATTTAGATTTAATTTTTCCTTTAAAGATTGTAGACTTCTTTGTTCAATTCTATTTCCAATACCTATTCAGTCACTAAGATCTGATTTCCTTGATACTTCTTATATCCAATCCTTTCTCTTTATACTCAAAACCAACACCTCACTTGGGAGTTTCACACTAATCCAGATTGGATTAAGTAGTTTCATAAAACATCTACAATGAAAGAGGCAGAGACAACTTTGTAAAGTAAGAGACCTCTGATGCCCATCAAACCAGGATGAAGAACAGTGCCTCAACCCAGCTTTTTCTACCATCTATTTTGAAAATAATTTTGACTTCCCAGAAGATAGTAAACCCAAATGGCCTTATGATCCCATTGCTAACTTATTTGATACCCAAAACAGCAGCAGCAGGCATGATGGCTGGCAGAGATAACTGAAGAGCAGCTGGTCAGTTGTCCCAAGTCAAACAAAGAAACAAAAATAATGGTGTTCATGTAACTACTGGTACTGTTTAAGATGCAAGCTAAAATAGATTTATAAGTAGAACTGATGGTCTAAATTAACTATGCTGAAAATTGTCTGGACCCTTGCATATTTACAGTAGTCACACTCACACCTGCTCTATGTGACTGTTTCTTTAAGACCTGGAGTCCAGAGGCCACTACAGCAGAGCTGATCAGGAAGAGGGAGCTGAGGCGAGAAAGGTTCACTTATGAGGTGGACTTTGAGGACTTCTTGATGCCCTTTGAAAAGAACATCAAAGAGAAAGCTCAAGCACTGGAAGCTACCTTCAAGACCTAAATCACAGCCATTGTTTTTTGTGGTAAATATCCTGAGGCCCCAGGACCAAACTTTGGAGTAATCAGTTATTTCCACTAAAGTCAAAGGGACCTCCAAGGGAAGAATTTGTAACCAAATATTTGTTTTTATCTTAACAGGTATAAATGTTCTGAGCTGTCTGAAGAAGGTGTATTTTATTTTTATTTTGTAAATAATGGTATGTTACTCTGGGTAAATCCCTCAATCTTCTTTAAGAATAGCAAAATAAATGGCATTATGGTTATAGATATTATTGGCAAAAAATTTACAAGGTATGTATTATATGAAAACTTTAGTTTTTCTGGAAATTGATGAAAACAATATAGTGTTAGGGAAGAAAAGAGCTTTCAACTCATTTAAAGGTGTTCCAACTCAAGGAAGGTATTTGATTCTCACACACCATCAAAAAAGATGAGTAGTAGTTACTGGAGCTTGCTTAAATGTCGACACCTTTTGCAAACTGGGTCAGCATTCCACACATTTCCCCACTGTTTTGGGGGTTATCCCCACATATCTAGTTAATTTACTTTTTAAAGATTTATTTATATATGCATACAGAAGTGGGGTACAAGCCAGAGGTGCAGGGGCAGTGGGAGGATTCACCAGGAGCAGAGCAGGCAGATTGACAAAGTACACTGCTGAGGGGAGCAGCAGGAGGGTCAGGAGAGGTCTGCCGCACCATGTGGATCACCTCTGGGGTGGGGGATTGAACTCACACTGAAGTGCCTACAGCTAGCTTGCAATGCTGCATCCTAACCCATTGTGACACCAGGGCGGGGCTCTCATATCTGATTTCCGGATGCTAGAAGGCTGCCTCTCAAACTTGTATAACAAGACCAATTACATGAGAATTAGAACCTCCTGGAAGCAGCCCTCATCCAATGACTGAACAGATAAGACCCCAGCTTCCTCACCACTCTGGTGGGATTACTCTGAAGTGCAAGTTATAAATGCGAACATTCCCCAGCAAGACTAAGATCAAGTGGCTCCCAGTGGTGATTTATTTGATAATAAGACTCCTCCTTCCCCTTCCTTCTCACTTCTCCCTACCTTTATCAAGATCACCTTCTACCTAAGGGTAATAAATACACCTAAGTCCATCTTCAGGTTGCTTCTAGGGAAGGACCCAAACTAACAGTTTTTATGGTATTAGTTACGATTCTGAATCATCTAGCAAAAGTTATAAAAGAACAGTCTTTTATATTCTGTTCCCTACAAAATAAATATTTCCCCACAACAAGGATTTACCCCAAGGGCTCCATCGCTATCAGTGCTAATTGATAGTTTGTACAAAATTTCCAAATGCCAGAAAAAGTATATAATATAAAGAATAACTAGATAACATGTGTGAGTTTTCCTTAAGGCAAAGTAGAAAGGGGGGTTTGAAAGACCCATCATCAAACCTTACCAAGTGTCCATTGGAATTTCAATGGATGACTCATACTTGGAAAAAGGGCTAGTCAGTGTTTTACCAGAGAAATGGAACCAGTAGTACATATAGAAAGATGATAAATAATAGACTTATTGCAATGAATTGTCTTATGTGATTGTGGGGATTGGCTGAGCAAGTCCAAAATCCATAAAGCAGGACATCAGGAAGGGCTGCCTGGAAACTTACCCAAGATCTATCTTTACAGTTCACAAGTGGAATTTGCTCTTTCTCAAGGAAACTTCAGTCTGTTCTTAAAACCTTTCAATTGATACATCAAGGCCACCCAGATTATTGAGGATGCTCACCTTTTAAAGTTAACTAGTTGTAGATGTTATCTGTATCCACATAATTCCTTCATAGTAACACCTACAGTTAGTGTTCGAATACCTGGGTTCTGCTACTTTGTCAAATTTTCACCTAAAACTGACCATTGCTAAAGGTAGAAGACTGAGTGGGGGCATTTCCACACCCAGAAATGCAGGAACTTCACATTATCCACAGAAGCCTCAATAACAAAGGTTCCAGAGAGCAGTAACTCCAATTACTACTATGTCCGTCAATCAAATATGATGAAGTCTCATTTCTCTAATCCCTTCTTCACTTTACCACCCTGGAGGTGCTAGTGAATTGAGGAGGCTAAATGAGTGAGTGAAGATAACCAGACTCGCCTTACTCCGATGCTGGCGTGAGTTGTGACTGCTTACTAGCTTTAGAATCAACCCTGGACATGTGCTATTCAAACTAAATTTTGTTGTTTCATGGGAATGTTTTTTTCTTTGTTAAACTCTCACTTAATATCAGATATACAAAAAAGTTGCAAAGAATTTTCAAAGTCCTGTGTACTCTTTTCCCAGATCACCTAAATATTTTAATGCTTTACCATATTGATTAATCTTTGTCTCTATATGCCCATGTGTTCATAGTGTCAGTTGACGACATGATGTCTTTACTCCTAAATACGTGCTTTCAAAAAAACAAGGGCATTCTTTTACATGACCATTTTACGATTAATGTAAATTAATGTAAATTAAACTACAGACCTGATTAAGATTTTGCATAATAGCTTTTTAGGAAAAAAGCAAAACAAAAACAAAGCTTGGGCTGTCTTGGGTTGTCCCTTCTCTTTGAAGAGTTTACAGTAGTTCCCAATCTTCTGTTTATTTTGAATGATACTGGTTTATTAGAAGAATGTGGGGTAGTTATTTTGTAAAGTAGCCCTCAGTTTTGCTCTGTCTTAGATGATGTATATTTCTTCTGGTATAAATTCAGGTGGTGTATTATAGGCACAGTTTTAAAAAATACTAAAGAAACAAGTTCACTCAATAAAAGTAGTCCTAAATGGCAAACATTTCATGGAGTGGGTAGCATCCAGGTGGAAGGAGACAAAGTCTGCAAGGGCTTGCATAAGGTGGGACATTTTCATAGTAAAAGTGTGGAACAAGGTTATTAACAAAGAAAAGAAAGCTTGCTTTAGGCAAAGCCACCTTCCCTAAAGGAAAAGGGAAGGCCTGTCTTCACTAATGCTGACCAGGACATCCAGACTGATTGGTTTAGAATTCCACTTTTGCTAGAGCGTGAACCTACTATTGGGTTAGGTAGTAGCAGGTTTGGTCCTATCCCCCTCCACTTCTATTTGGGGCCAGTTGGTCCTTTTTATGACATCATGAGTGCCACAAAGGTGACAGTTAGCCCTTTTCCATGACCTCAGGAGGCAGGTGACGTTGCAATGTGTGTGATGCTGCAATGGATGTCGAACTTTGTTTAACTTAATCCCTTAGTTCAAGTTGATTTTTCCTCTGTGAAGTTACTGTTTTTCCTTTTGTACTTACTAAGTACCTTATGGACAGCTCCTTGGGACTTATGTAAATTTCCTATTGTTCCTATAATTTTTCACCCATTAATTTTAATATTCATGGATGATGTGTGCCCAAAATAATGATATGGGCCCCATAAGATTTTCTAATTTCATCATTCATTCTGTACTTCTTAATTGGCTTCCTACTGTTGAGTAGACTTCTTTTCTTATCTATTCATTTATGCATCTCAATCAGTTTGGAATAATGTGTTCTGTTTTTGTTCTTAGTTTTTTGGTGGGTTTTAATCCTTTACTGTTATTATTTTTATTATCAAATTGTTCCTGATAAAGCCAGTAGAAGCTCTTCAAATTGATTCCTAGAACAAGATATTTTATATCCTAAAGTAACTACAGGACTCATTACTTCTTGCATGTGAGGGAAAATGTCTACCCACAGTTTCATTCATTAACAAGCAAAATGAACCTACAGATTTTTCAGAGGCTATAAATTTCTGTTCTATCCTACTGAATACACTTTCAAATGCCAGAATCACATAAGTGATGGTCTATGATTACCGTCAGCCTTTTGCAAACATAAACTGAAAATATTAACATCAAATTCTATATTTTCTGCCACACAGAAAATGTTTATAGTTGTTTGAATGGCTCAACAAAATGTTTGAATGGAAGTGTGTGACAATTCAAGTGACTACATTTATTTGGAGTTTAACACAAAGATCAGAGCAGATCAAAGTTCTCAGATGACCCTATACTGTCATCACTGTTATTCATAGTGGTCCATGAGCCAGAACATCACCTGAGAGCTTGGCCTGATACCCTGAAAATTATGATACATAATTCTATAAGGTATAAAATGTTTTGTAGAAGAAATTTTGCTGCCATTAAAAAGAGTCTGTCAAAGTTAGATGAAAAAAAATCACAACTAAATGTGTAATAATCTCAGACCGGTAACAAATTATTATTAATATTCTCAGGTCACTGTCTCCATCTGAAAGAATATTAACTAAGTCTATATACATAAAAGAATAAAAAGGAAAACCTGAAATACAACCACTTTGGTATTCTGGAACTCTAGGTCAACATGTATTTTTCTCTTTAAAAATAATTTGCTATTTATTGTAAAGTAATATGTTCATTCCAAGAGACATAAAATATACCAAAACAAGTCATAATGAGTTCACAATCCTGAAACTCAGGAAAAATACTGTTAATATGTATTTTGCTTTACATTACTACTAATCATCCTACTTGTCATTCTAGTGGATTCTAGGTCAAAAGTTTACTTTTTTCTATCTCCAGAACCTAATCGCTCTCTTCAAGAGTTTAAGTGTTTAAGTAATTAACACAGTGCCAGAGATCTAGCTCGCTAGAAATACAGCCTGACATGGGATTTTTGTATAAGTTTTTATTGAGAGAATTAATCCCAGGAGAAGCTTTTAATGGCATAGGGAGAGCAGAAGAAAGTAGGGGAAGGAACAAGGAAAGGAGTGTTAGCCTCAAGCTGAAGCAATAGGGAACTGTGGAAAAACTGTAGTTAGAGGTTGTCCTGCAGACAGGGAAGGCAGAGGCTGTCATTCCCAGTCAGTCACTGGCCAGTGCCTCAGAGGCAGGGTGATTGCAATCAGCCAAATGCAATTCTCCAGAAAATGGGCAGCACTGAGCCAAAGCAGCCACTAGCCCCAGCAGCTGAGCCCTGAGCAGGCCTGCAAGTTGGTAGCTAGAACCTGGTTAAGG